GGTGGAGGGGGGAGGGATGACGAAGACATCAAGGTCCTGAGGCTCTGTAAGAGTATCACAGTGGGTAATAGCAAAGTTTAACCACCCCCCCCACACACATACACATCGTGCATCATGACAATCACAGGGCACAGTGTCCCCTTTTCCTGTGAGACAAACAGTTGCTTTACATCTCCGCTAATAACCCCCTCCCCCCTCACCAATCTCCCCCCTCAAAACGACCGCAGATGTTGCTTCCTCGGTTAAGCAGTTCAAAAGGGCGGGTGGGGGCGATCAAATTTTACATATATATCGACTAAAATGTAATACCATTAACTAGGCTACGCTCGAGTTTTCGACAAAAAGTAGGTCATTTTAAAATTAGAACGTTTTGCCCAAGGGAAGGTTTAGAAACGCAGAGATAAGTGACCCTAGTATAAACACCCTCACGTATTTCCCGAGCATAGTTCGCTACCTCAGAATTACAAAGTGCTATCTGCACAGTACCTAGATCTAGTTTTGAGAAATTAGACGTCGAAGATTTTGAGTTTCACATCATTTCAAGCTTTTTCGAATGCAATTCTTGGAATACCTTGATAACAGCTCCGATTAAGCTTAGGATTTTGATAGCGCAGGTGGAAAAATTTGGTTTCTGACCTCATGGTCTTAGTAACTCAAAATGTTCAAAAATGTCAGATAGAACTTTGTAATTTTGAGACTGCGAATGGTTCACAAACGTTGTTTGACGATACAACTTTAATGGGCCGTGCGGGCATCCTGTTGGTGAGCTGTGTTTTTTTTAAAGCACTCTCCAATACACTTTGAGGGGGGGGGGGTATTATTGGAGGGCAGATCTTTACTTGTAGACGTATAACAATTACTACAGGAGAGCAACTGAGGAAAAAAACACCATCTGGCGTGTTAATCCCTCTTTTTTTTTGCAACAACAGCAACAATAAATATGATCAAGAAGAGCACTGAAGTCCATCTCTTGTACTCACCCTCTCATGCATAATTTTGACAAAGTTGTACACTGCTGCAGATTCTTGCTCAGGCTGCAAATAGATAATGACATAGTTGTAATGCCTTAAGTGGTTATGCATGTAACGTTGATTAAAAGGAAAAAGAGCCACATGATTTGTTGAAGACATCTGAAAACATTGAGATGCGCTCGAAAGACAAATCAAGAAAACAAACCACCCCCCCCTCCAAATCTAACAGAAATCTTCTGACTGGCAAAGACAGTTCAAGGCGTGAATTGGGTCTTCTGTACATTCTTTTTTGTTTCGCTTTAAAAGGAGAACGGAAAGAGTGTGGCGCAGCTCTCAAAAACATGTCTCGCTGAAGCGATCATGTGACATCACTTCAGAAAACGGGGATAGGGAGACATCAGACTCGCCGCATGAACTTGTTGGACCATGGCAAAAGTGTTCTGTCTGGGTGACTCACTCTCTCACTTAAAAACACATATTATGCTTTCTCTCCCTCTCCACCCCCCTCCTCTCTCTCTCTCTTTCTGTCTCTGTCTCTCTGTCTCTCTCTATCTCTCTCCCTCTCCCCCTCTCTCTCCCTCTCTTATTATTATACAACAAATATGACCTGATCCTGGATAAGTAAAGAGTACTCACGACTTCATCGCTCATGGCTGTCTCGTAGACGTATCTGGGCGGGGCATAGTACCCGTCAAACGTAGTCTGAGTAAACAGCTGGTTTCTCCCACCTGATGCAAGCACGAGACAAAAGGCATCGTACCGTAAATATTATGCTGTTTGTTTTAGTAAGAGTTTTACAGGACTTTCTATACAATTATGTCATATAAGTGAAGACGTTAAGAGGTGTTACAAGTGAGTACCAAACACAATTATGTCATATAAGTGAAGACGTTAAGAGGCGTTACAAGTGAGTAACAAACACAAATAGGAGGGAAGATAAGGACGAAAGCAGTTTCAAAGGAAAGAAGGAGCAAATCACATCAGAGCACGCGCTAACAACCCAAATAATATAATGTTGAAAATTAGCTTCTGTTTTTATACGGATTGAGTTATTGTTTTTCGATGAGCTCTTCCCATAGTGGCTGCATTTCGTTGTATGTTTCAAGGAAACAGTATCAGACACAGTCAACAGTACATACACATCACTTTTTTGGGTAAGTGTTTTACGGCATTAGATCCTATGAGTGCGCCTGGCACATAAAATATTTTTCAGTTGGTAAGAAATTTTGAATTTTGCCCAGGTGGCGTCCGAAGCCTACTCTTATCGATTTTAGGACCACCATGGAATCTTTAACGTGTGTAACTTGCACACGGGTCACTATTTAAATTCTGGTGTTTTCGCACCTCCATCGACACAGGTTCGATAATTTTGGAGGCGGGCTTCATTTCAGTCTGTCAGAATCAGACCCGGTGGAAGAGCGAATAAATGTCCTAGGAAAAAGATCGAGATAATGGACAAACTTAATCTTCCTAAAGGGAACCGAACTAAAAGTTTCTACACGTGAAGGTCAATCGCCTGACCGCTCCACCACAGAATCTAGTTGATGTATACACACTTGGATATCTGGATACCTGGAGGTGTCATTTCTGACTCAGAGGTTGATATTGTGTAATGACTCTCCGTCCTTCACGGCCACGAGCTGCCGTTGCACATTCTGCTATAAGCAGGCCAGTCCATGTTTTTATGTTGTCCATTCAATTTACTCTTTGTCTTCCCCTGGCTCTCGTGTCCCACATCTTTCTTTAAAGCACCTCTTTCACACTGGTCTTCTACCGTTTTAAATGGCCATAGTATTGTATTTTCCTACGTTTTAGTTTATTCAGCAGGGTGTGTCTTGTGTGGAGAATCTGACACACCTAACCTTTGACCAAAAGAAATCTATTGACAGTATTTTGACTGGAGGTGCAGATCAATTGCTTGTGTGACGACGTAACGAGGACGTAAACGTTTGGTCATACTCGATCATTCCTTGACAATAATTGGACTAAAAGATCGTTGTTGTTCCCTTCGTCATCCCATCCTTCTCCTACCCTCCCCCCTTCTTCTTGGCCTCATGTTATTGGCAGCATAACGATTATTTATATTTTTAAGAGCGGTAGTCGAGATTAAAATAGAAAAAGGTTTACCTAAATTATCAGGACTTGTATCCCACAGAAACTCTAGATTCTTTGTCCTTTTTCTTTCTGCCAGGTCTTGAAAATCGATTCTTCCCACAAATAAGGAATCATATCCCATCTGAAAATAGAAACGTAGAATAAACAACCAGGACACAACGTCTACACACATTCTGAACTTATCATCAACGGCTGATAAAAATGTGACGGGAGCAGAAAAAGTAAAAAAAAAAAAACCGTTATGATTATTGGCTCCTCCACATTGTCGGTGAGGCGACATCGTGATAGCTCCTCCAGGGTATTCCTGTAAACTATGGGGCATACGTTCAGTACAGTAGAGAGACAGATATCGCCAAATTTTACTCCCACAAAATTATTGGAAATGGGCTGGTCACATCAGCAGAGTGAAAGACAACATATAGACTTTTAGTTTTAATAAGAGTTTTACGGAACATGCAACACAATAAGGTCATATAAGTGCCGATGATTAAAAGTGTTACAAGAAAGTAACAAACTCAAAAAAGAAGGAGAGATAAGGACGAAAGATCTTTGATAGGAAAGAAGGAGTAAACCACACCAGACGACCCGCCAACCTCCCGCACAGATAGACTAAAACGTGTATTGGATAGGCGGCCAGGAACAGGAAAAAGATCGAGAGGAAGACCAGAAAGAAGTTAACAAGATGATATCAGAGACCTCACGGGTACAACCTGGACACGGAAATCAGAATGGAGATCGTTGTTGGATCGCTACATCCAAAAGTGGACGGACAACGCCTAGAAAGAAAGAAAGAAAGAAAGAAAGAAAGAAAGAAAGAAAGAAAGAATGAAAGAATGAAAGAAAAAAATAAAAGGAAGAAAAAAAGAAAGAATGAAAAAAAGAAAGAAAGAAACGAAAGAAAAGAAAGAAAAAAAAGAAAGAAAGAAAGACAGAGTCACCTGAGCAAAGATGGAGGCGTGCTCCCTGCTATGTCCGAACTGGTCAACGTGCCAGGCTGTACGGGATTGGGCACAGGGACCAAACGTCTCGCTGATGAAGTCCGCACCGAGCGTGTGCTGGTCGATGATGTCATTGTACCACGTGACCCCGGCGTCACTCATCACCCAGCCGCCATTGATGATCTCAAGACGACCTGAGGAAGAATTATTATTAATATTGTTGCAAACGTTTCATGACCCATCCGCAAAATGTAATTTAGTTAATTTGCTTAATTCTTAGTTGTAGTGTGTTAGTAAGTGCGTATATAATTATTAATGTATGGTTGAGAAAGTCCTTTATGCAGTTGAGCTGGTTTTCTTGTTACTGTCAGTCTCATATACATAATATGTATACAAAGGAATAGTTTTACTTTATCAACCAAATTTACGAGGGTAAACAATACTCTTTCATTTTCTGAATAACCTTTTGAAGAATAAAATGTGTTTTCCAAAAGTTAAAAGTGCAAAATAAGACATTTCCATACCGAGCATATCATGTCAGGAATTTAATACTTATTAACTCTTTGTCAGGCGAGGCACTCTTTGATTTTCCCTTGTTATCTCTTTTCTCACCAATACTCACGTTCTTTGATCAGTTGTCGGATAAAGGCGCGTGTTTCATCATTGGCTTCCCGCCAAAATCTGGACAAGTATTTCATCTCCACGAAGATGAAGCGCCTGGTCGGGTCGTCCTTGAGCTCTTTGAGGGTAGCCTCGATGGTGCAGCGGACACATCCTTCCACCAACGGCATCTTGTGGCCGTCCATGATGCCAGCTGTAGGGTGAAAAACAAGACAAGTGAAGAAAAGTGACCGTCATAGACAGGTGGACATTTTTTTTCTTTTTCTTTTTGGTAAGTGATTTACGGGATCGCAACCTCAAAAGGTCATATGAGCGGGTGGGACACATTAATTTTTTTCAGTTGGTAGGAAATTCTGAATTTTTGCCCGGGTGGCGGCCTAAGCCTGCTCTTATCGACTTTGGACCACCAAGAGATCTTTAAAGTGCGCAACTTGCACACGGGACCTCCGAGATTTTTCGCCCTTGTCCGAGAAGGCTAGATGTAGATCTCTCCTACCAGAAGATCAGGGGTGTTGCTGAAAGACAGCAGCAAGAAGAAGCCAAGGAGTAGCAGTAGAAAGGTTGCAGCAAGAGTCAGGAGTCCAGAGGAGGGGGCAATGGAGATACGGCACCCCATCAAGCAGAAAGACTGAGATACTGTATTAAAATGTCTCCCCATTCGGGAATCAAATTCGGATCTCCATCAAATACTAATAAATAATAATAATAACAAAGACAACAGTAATGGTAACATCAACAACAACAAACAACAACAACAATAACAATAACAATAATAATAATAATAATAATAATAATAATGATGATAATAATAATAATAACACGATAATAGTAATATGATATATTAATAACAATAATAGTAATAACAATAATAGTAATAATAATAATAATAGTAATAATCACAAACACTAATAATAAAACTAACAACAACAGTAATTATACTACTACTACTACTACTACTATTACTACTACCAATAATAATAGATAACGTTTCTATAGCGCAAATTCCCCGCTCAACAGCAAGCACTAAGCGCTGTACAATAATCTACAATAACTTACTGGATGAGCCCTCATAGTACTGGTCTACAGTCTTGAGCCAGCCGACATCGATGTGCGAGTGAGGCACGAAGTGAACGTTCAGCATGCCCGGCTTCACATCTGGGCAAGTCTAAATAATACAATAAAATAATAAATGAATTATATTTTAATTGACCCCTGTACAGCAATTTGGTTTACAATGGTGAACGTACATATATATATATATATATATATATATATATATATATATATATATATATATATATATATAATATACATACGCATTTTAGTTTTAGTAAGAGTATTACGGCACTTGCAACACAATAAAGTCATATAAATGACGAAGATTAGAGGGGTTAGAAGAGAGTAACAAACATAAAAAAAGAAGGAGGAGAGATCAGGACGATATATGTTTGATAGGAAGGAAAAAAACAAACCACCCCAGAGCACCCGCCAACCATCCACGTATAATTATCTTTCACCCTTCAAGATGGAGGGCCACACACAATAGCGATTGAGACAAATGACCTGCAACAATGACCATCAATAATTTATTTCTAGAGGCACCAGCCATCACCGCAACAATGATTTAAACCCGGCACGCCAGAGTTGAAGAGCGGTCGTCAAGTACTGGACCCTCCTAAGGGAGTCCAGCGGTTAGTGACCTTGGTTCACACAGACATGCCCAGTAATGTCAAGTGACAACAGCTATTAGACGAGCGGTCACTCGAAAGTGTCCTTGAGTAAAAAGTATGTTGACCTCTGCTACCCCTAACGTCCCCACCCCAAACAAAAAGCTACAAACCTCCAAAACAAAACGAAATAAAACAAATCATAAGTAACCCACGACCATATCAGCAGCAGCGGTAATAATAAGAAGAAGGAGAAGGAGAAGGAGAAGGAGAAGGAGAAGGAGAAGGAGAAGGAGAAGGAGTAGAAGAAGAAGAAGAAGAAGAAGAAGAAGAAGAAGAAGAAGAAGAAGAAGAAGAAGAAGAACAACAACAACAATAACTCCACCACTACCAACAACAACTACAGCAAGCTTATATAACAATGGTAAAGAGATCTGGAAAACACTATTATCTTTCTACATGAATAAACCGGGCGACCTGCAGTTACCACGCACACCTCATAATATCCCTCCTCTGACTCCCCTACCATTTATTCTTATCCCCCCCGCCCCCTCCCAACATTCTCGTGGGAACATCTCACCAGCATTCCACTCAGAGGATGACCATTGAAGGGATGGCACAACTAAAAGAAATATCAATATTATTTGAAAAGACAAATCCTAACAATTTGTCAGGTTTACAGGACATTTCATTGAGGACAAGGTTTGAGTAAAGTGAAGAACATTAACACAACAATGGTCATTTAGTGTTGGAAACTGTAAGACAGACAGAAATAAAAGAAGGAAAGTGAAGAAGCAGGACCTACAAATGGCGCCCTCCAACCACCCGCTCTTACAGACCCTGTTCGGATGCTTTATATATATGGCACACACACACACACACACACACACACACACACACACACACACACACACACACACACATGCACACACAAACACACACATACACAGACATGTTCTGGTTCTGATTTAATTGAAGTCTATGCCCTTCAATAAACGTTAGCCTTCAACTGTCGATGATCATGTCAAGTCAAAAATGCTTTCTGTATAAAAGTCAGGAGCCTTATAGGAAGAACAGACCATATTTTTGCAAGATAAAAATTAATTATGAAAGAAATTGCAAGGGGGTGGGGGGTAGGGGATGGCGACTGGCTAACATTTTCATCTGCCTGCCTTCCTGTCTGTCTGTCTGTCTGTCTGTGTGTCTGTCTGTCTGTCTGTCTGATAGGCTGCTTATCTATATGTGTGTCTCTCAAGTTCTCGCACACACACACACACACACACACACACACACACACACACATACGCACACACATACACACACATACACACGCACAAACACAGATCTCTCTCTATGTATCTATATATATATATTTATATCTCTTTCTCTATCTATCTATCTATCTATCTATGTATGTATCTATCTATCTATCTATCTATCTATCTATCTATCTATCTATCTATCTATCTATCTATCTATCTATCTATCTATCCAAATACATAACAATATTATGGTTGCGTGTAACCTCCAGCCTTTAATTCTCGCTCTTGTAAGTTCCTTCCGTCCTCTCATTCCTCAGTCCACCCCCCCTCCCATCTCCCCCCCCCCCCCTGGTCTCATATCTTTTGGCCAGGCCAGTGGGAGGTCCAGGCGTCAGGGCAATATCGCACCAATCACTCAGGGGTCGCCATTGTTAAGTCGAGAGGACAACGGTCCGATTTATCTGAAGTTGTTCATTCACAGACAGTAAGCCGTCATTGGGAACCAACTTTTGTGTTTTGCTTTCAAGGGAGTTCGACTTTACTGGTCTCTGTCATAGACTTGAATCATAATATGTGCCTCGGCGCGGTGGAATCAAACGCTCGTCAATATTTGAGCATGTGGAGTTTATTAATATTATCTTAAAGCTTGTTCATTTGCCTTGCTTTCGATGAAAGAAATACTCGTTTTTCTTGAATAGAAGTCAAGATATTTGCAATTGAAATAGATGGGTGGTCACCGTGTTTCAGAGGTAAAATTTGCGAGAAATTGGCCGCCAAAATTTGGTGACTTCTAAAGCTTGAGAATCTTTCGAAAGTACAAATTTATATTCCTTGTGGCTTTAATCAACGTTTTTTACCAGTAAATTCCAAACAGAAAATGTGTTTCTAAATGGACATAAAAGATGCTGAGTCAAAAAAATAAAAAAATAAAATCAAAGTACGAAAAAATTACCAAAGCCAGATTCTTTAATTCTATTATTTTGACCAGTGCCTTGATTTCACCACGATGCCTCACATATCCTTGACTGTGTACTGTCATGATCACAGCTCTCTGCTCTTTATAAAACTTCGCAGCGAATCGTGCGTATTACGAGCGTCAAAACGAAGGGAAACACACAAGTCCCGCTATAGATTCTAGTCCAGTGCGCGCAGCTCTTCATTTAGCCTCCAAATTGAGTCAAATGGTGCGCTCCATGAGAGTGAATTGGAATTACGTCAGAGAGCATGATTTAGGCATTAGATTTTATGGCATAAAGATCTATGGTCTCAGTACAGTATATGATAAGCAAGAGCATTTTTATTTTGTCTTTCTTAGGTCAAAATACTGTTCTCATTTCCCAAAAGTTGGATTGCTAACAATGTGAATTGGAAATGGTGAAATGGTATGGGTACAATGCGCGTATCAACACAGTTATTCAAGAGGCGGGACCTCCCAGGTTTAACGTCCATTTCCGAAAAGACTGAATCAAACAGGAATTTCGTGTCAAGTGCCTTTCTCAAGGACATAACGTCGGACCAAGCTGAGGCTCGAAACCCCCGAACACGCAATCTCACGACTACGAGCCCGGTGGCCTAACCACCAGGCAACCGACGTTCCTCAATATGGATTGATTAGAGGAAAAAACTCATGAGGGTAATTATTACTTCGTTTCGCGCGTCGGAAACTAGAAAAAGTGTATGTGAGGTGGGGAGGGGGTGGGGTGGACAGTCGGACTTGTCCAGTGCAACTACCCATTGTCGAGGAAAAGTGGTCACCTTAGGCAGGTGGTGCTCTTGGACAGTGCCATTTTATTATTAAAAAAAAAAAACGCAAGAAAGAAAATGGAAAGTGTCCATTCGTACAGGTGATTGTCTGGGACAGGCGATTATAAAAGCAGATCGGACTGTTAAGTAAGAGTTTTATGGCGCTTGCAACAGCACAAGGTTATTGGCAAGAGGTTAGACTTTTTATTTTTTTACACAAAAACATTAGTATCGAACGATATTCAGAGGGACCTATAATCAACAATGCTGTGCGCAATTAATTTAACTTCGATCTAATCGATTCTGTTTCTTCGAATGTGTGTGAGCGTGTGTGTGTGTGTGTGTGTGTGTGTGTGTGTGTGTGTGTGTGTGTGTGTGTGTGTGTGTGTGTGTGTGTGTGTGTGTGTTTTCTTGTCTCTGAAAGGATCCGATAATACGGATCTGATTTGTTGGAAGTGAAGCTGTCTTAAGATTGACCCTTGTACCGAAGGCATGACACTCGGCACCCCAATCATAGAGAAGGTGAAAGGGAGAGGCGATGGAGAGAGGGGGGGGCGAAAGGGAGAGGAAGGGGAGGCGAAGGAGAGGGGACGGGAAGCAAAGGGGAAGGGCAGCGAAGAGGAGGGGGGAATGAGAGTTGATTAGACACGGACGGCAATTTTGTCCCGGGTTCATCGACTCCTCCCCTCTCTTTGAGTGAAGGGACGGCGCTGGGACCAGTCATGACACACATGGACAGAGGGGGACAGGGGGACAGAAGGAGAGACGGACAGAGGGACAGAGAGACAGAAGGATAGAGGGACAGAAGGGTAGAGGGACAGAGAGGGACAGAGAGGGGCAGAAGGATAGAGGAACAGAGGGATAGAAGGATAGAGGGACAGAGAGGGACAGCGAGAGACAGAAGGATAGAGGGATAGAGGGGCAGAGGGATAGAAGGATAGAGGGACAGAAGGACAGGTCGTGTCAACGGCTCCGTGCGATTCCCAAGTGTTTTCCCGCGAAGAGAAACACTTAGGAGAGAAAGCAGCGGAGTCAAAATGTCACACACAGACAGACGGACAGGCAGACAAACAGACAGACAGTCAGACAGACAGACAGACAGACAGACAGACAGACAAACAGACAGACAGACGGACAACATCCCCCCATTACATTCATAAGTCTATAAGTCATATATATATACATATATATATATATATATATATATATATATATATATATATAATATAGTATATATATATTATATTATGCATATATGTATGTCACATAGATAGATAGATAGAGCAAGAGAGAGAGAGAGAGAGAGAGATAGAGAGAGAGAGAGAGAGATAGAGAGAGAGTGTGTGTGTGTGTGCGTGTGTGTGTGTGTGTGTGTGTGTGTGTGTGTGTGTGTGTGTGTGTGTGTGAGAAAGAGAGAAATAGATAGAGATAGAGATAGAGATAGATAGATAGAGGGAGAGAATAATATTTAAATTGTATACACGCATAATACACATAAACACACATGTTTAGTTTAGTTTTAGAAGAAGTATTACGGCGCTCGCAACTGCATAAGGTCATATGAGCGCCAAAAGATTAGAGGTGTTACAAGAGAGTAACAAACAAAAAAAGAAGAAGGGGAGATAAGGATGATAGATGTTCGATAGGAAAGAAGCAGCAAACCACATCAGAGCACCTGCCAACCACCCACACACACATGTTTACCATACTACACTATAGTTGTTACCTTAAAAGAGCACACGCCGTCATCACCACGGAGCGGCTTGAGGTACTTGTGTGGCTTGATGAGCCTAGCTTTCCTGGACCGTTTGACCGACACTGACCAGTAGTACACGGCCAGTTGGAGCAAGACCAGTGCACACACCCACTGCAGCCCGCGCTTCAAGGACACGCGCATGGTCACTGCTCATACAGACCAGCCTGGGGAGTAGATTGGATGAAGTTTGAATTTTTTGGGGTTTTAGTAAGAGTTTATGGCACTTGCAACACAATAAGGTCATATAAGTGTCGAAGATTTGAGGCGTTACAAGAGAGTAACAAACAATAAAGAAGATGGGGAGATAAAGACGATATATAGATGTTTGGTCCTTTCGGAGATGGTCGTTTAACTCGAAGGTCCCACCTTTTAAATAATAACCTAATATGTGTTGATACGGGCGTTAAACCTATACCATTTCACCTTTTTTCAAATATTCTTAATTCAAACAATAATGGGGAGGACACCGGCGCCCACGACTGAACCAGCAAAGCCAAGGCACCACAACTTTCCTCAGCCTTTCCCACAAGGATATTTCAGTACAACGAAGACTAGATTTATAACCTGACATATTCTCTCGACATCTTGAGAGACAAAAGGACAGAAAAAGTAAATAAGTAAGTACTTTAAGTAAGATGCTAATCGATCCAGTGTTGTTGTTGTTATCGATTCAGTAAGATGCTAATAATGCTGCATCGACAATTCCTTACCAAAAGCTCATCAAATTCGAGGGATAAATTCACAAACATTGAACCTTAACTTACCCCCCCCC